TCAAATGGCTTGGCAGAGGTTTGGCTAAGTCCTAATGCCAACTGGACAGGCGCTCAAAGAATTGCTTACATCCGGTCCCAAAGTTCGCCATTGAAGAAGATGTCCTTTGAGGGTATAAAGTCTCAGATTTCGGATAGCGTGAAATTAGCCGCCAAACGAAGATACTATTTTGAACTCATTTACATTCAGTCGCAGAGTAATGCAACGAGAAGCAAACATTTAATTCAGGTCGCTTGGAAAAGACCAGATAGTCGTAGATTTGAGATCATCGATAACAAGTTCTTCTTACTGTATACAAAGGACATAGATAAGGCGAAATTGAAAATTCTCGACGATGAGTTACCAAAAGCTCCCACTTGTGCGCAGTCTCGGACGACATTTGCGAACATGCACTTGAGGCCTGAAGCACTGCCTTACTTAGAGAAAACTGCCGTGGACGAGGCGCTTCCTATCTGTGATTATAAACCCAGTTATCTTCTTGATCCGGCTAATTTACCCCGCGACTTTAAACATTATCGCGGTGTGCGCAGGTATGTTCAAAAAACTTACACGTATCCATTTCAAAGCTTGAACGGAGTGATCAAATCGAAAACTGCGAATAAAGCTTTCATAGCTGGATACCCTTTGAATGAAAAGGAGGCATTGACTGTGGTGACAAATTACTTCAACGCTTTGAAGAGGATGTACCCTAGGTAAGGAATGTCAAACAGTGTAAAATCCTTTATTTGGGACTTTTCTATGCGGGGCACTATATTATTAGAAGGACACTATCTTTGGTCTCGAAAGGAGTGATGTTGTTAGAACTACTGAAACTGTGACCCTGAAGAGAATCCTCTCTATAATTTTCCAGTCAACGCCAAGCGAAGGTCAAAGGTTGCATCTTTTCCGCTTCACGGTCGAACCTGTTTTAAGCGGTTATCCGTGGGGAATGACGGGGTAACCGCTCAACACAGGTTGACCGCTTGATACAGGTTCTAAAGAATAAGAGTATTATAAAAGCGGTAAAGACGCGATGTTTTTCCATTATTGACCAGTTGATTTACAAAACCTCGCTCTAAAATACTGAAAAATACTCCTAATATTGGTTTTGAGAGATAAAGATGGCCGGATTAAGTTTTGTTTGAAATGTTACTCTTAGCTTTATTTAAGTGGTTTCGCTGCAAGTGACCGTTCTATACAGGTGGAGAACGATACAAACAGGCTGTTCGGACTAAGTTAAGGGTGATTACAACCGCTAAACGGAGGTGACTGCTTATTAGAAATGGAAATCACAGCAGGAGTAAATTTCGGGACTTTGGTCTGGAAATGGCCTGGTCACCCTGTGAAGCAGTTAGTGTTGCTTTCTTCAGACCTCCAGCGCGTTAGACAAGGAGTAGTCCCTTCTTCTCGGCGAAGTCCGTTAAGGCGAGTAAAAGAAATCACCCCCTAGAAGACAAAATGATAATAGCGTGCCGCGCGGAACTCTGAGAGTGACGTGCGGGAAAAAGTACTTGCGCGACGGGATTCGCCTAAAAAAGGAGGGGCTGCTCGCAGTCTACAAGCATGTCAAAAGATCTGAACTTCTTTTGTGTTTCCTCAGAACATACGAACTCTTGTCAGTCAGGCGCGTCGAAAAGAAAGGAGATCCGCTAAAAGGAGACAGATATCTCCTTGAGCTTGTGGTCAAATATCTTCCAAATGGCGCCAACTACATCTTGGCAGAATATGTATTCCAGCCAAAGGTTCTATCGGGACCTTTGTGTTATCCAAGCGGCCTGCAGTGGGACAGGACAGCGGATGTTTACTTAATTCTCACTGCAAAGAACCTGGGTCGATGGGTTCACCATTTCATCAAGAACGTGGAGCAAATCGTAAAGGAAACAAAAGATGAACATTTACACGTGGTTATATTTGACTTCGGTAGCCCAGATATTGATTTAGAACAGGCTTTGAGAAAAAGTTCTCTGATAAACTATCACTTAATTGTGCAACCTGGGAACTATTCGCGGACTCTTTCTTTTGGTAGAGCTGTGCAATCGATAAAGGACCCAAACGCCATTATTGTAACCATTGACATGCATCTGGATCTTGGGAGTCAACTTATCAATGAAATTCGCAAGGTAAGCGTTCTTTTTTGTTTTACTTTTACTTTTATTTTATTTTATTTTATTTTACTTTATTATATTTTATTTTATTTTATATTATTTTATATTATTTTATATTATTTTATATTATTTTATATTATTTTATATTATTTTATATTATTTTATATTATTTTATTTTATTTTATTTTATTTTATTTTATTTTATTTTATTTTATTTTATTTTATTTCATTTTAGGGGAGGGGATAAAAGGAAACTCCCTAGGGATGTCTTTGAGGGATCATTTTCGAACTAGAACCATCGGTGCCCCCTTACAAAACCCCCGCTCGCTTGAGAAGCGCGGGCTTCGCAACTTTTGTCGCTCCACCAATGAAAGCCTGCGTGCAGGTTTATTTGCAATTAACTACTCGCTCGGAGATTCGTTTATTAATTTCAAAGTATGTGTCATTTCTAAAACATGCACAGGAGTCAACAATAGTGCTTTGCACTTCAGTAGCATCCTGGCCCCGGCGAAATCAGTCGGTTCTTGCGTTTTTCCTATGCATTTATGTCAGGACTATTGCCTGTTGAAAATACTAGTCATCGGAAATTAACGTGCGTGCGCCAAAGTCGATAAACTGTAACATAAATCGTCTGTTAAAAGTTTAGTTATCCTGTTACTTTGTCATTTCAGCATTGTATCAAAGGGAAAATGTTGCACGCTCCTCAGATAGTCTATCTTTACTGTGACGGAACCAGTGCTGTTCCCAGAGGGCGATGGTACCACTACAGCTATGGAACTGTGGCAGTGTACAAGGAAGACTGGGACAAATTTGGAGGATTCTCCAAGGATTTTGAGACAAAGGTCACATGGGGAGGCGAGGACTGGGATCTAATTGACGGCGCAGTCAAGAGTGGCTTGGAAATAGAGCGCACACGCTGTCCAAAGATTTACCATTATTACCACAGTAAGACAGGAATGTGGGTAAAAACTGAAAAGCCTAAATTAGCAAAGGGGGCAAAACCAACTCCAAAGACGGCACAAATAACGCCAAAAGCGGCAAAACCAATGCCAAAAGCGGCAAAACCGGTGCCAAAAGTAGCAAAACAGATGCCAAAAGCGGCAAAAGCTATGCCAAAAACGGCAAAACCGATGCCAAAAGCAGCAAAACCGATGCCAAAAGCGGTAAAACTAATGCGAAAAGCGGCAAATCCGATGCCAAAAGCGGCAAAACCTGAGCCAAAAATGGCAAAATCGATACCAATGACAGCAAAACTAACCAGGAAAAGGGCATAGTCCATGTTTAAAGGTCATATTTAAGGCCAGCGAGGTATTCAATTTACTATTTTGGGACACGAAGACGTGGTCTACGAGTGTGGTACTAACAAGTTTTTAAATCGCATTTAAAACATTCGTTCTGAATATTTCAACGTGGCTTCATGAGGGCGATATGCGACAATCCTTAATGGCTCTTCGTCGTGAACAATGAAGCAAGAGAAATAATTTTGTTTTGAAGAAGATCAAAGCTTGTAAGCTTTAGCGGCACCCCTCCCTTCTCTCAACTCATTTCTACCCTCCTTTCAGAATTTTAATCGCCATATCATAGGCGTAGTGATAGAGAAGTTGAATACTTAATGATTGTAAAGATTTACCTAGATTGCACACAACTTTCTTCTACTACTTAGGAGCAAATAAGCGAATGGGCGCGCGACCCTTGAGAGATTTTCTCTCTCCTGTCCAAAACGTTCAACATTATGGTAAAATCATGATCAAATGTCATCCCATATGTTCTTTTATGAGAAGAGGTCTTATTATACTTCCTGCCACAATAATATGAGTTACGTTACTTACTCCTATACCCGTCATATTCGTTTTCGTCCCGTTATACTATGAAGCAATGTTTAAACATGCAAACGTTAAATGCATAAATTAACTTTTATTTAATGAATTGTGAAGCAAATGTTTTATTTACGGCATGGAGCCGCGCTATGGTAGCTATTATGGACTGAATTCACTAGTAATTCACCTGACTATCTGCCTTACAATTCTTGTGATCTTATTTCAGAGAATTTGGTAATGGATCAAATAATTAACAATCTCCTATTTATATTTTTCTTTATTCTTATCAATTGTCTGCTTGGAATTGTATTGTTAATCCGAAACTATTTAATACAGTAAAATATTTTGATCGGTTGTGGAAAATTGTTACCACCAGCACTTGCAAGTCATTGCCAATTGTTTGTAGGCAAGTACTTCAATCTATTGTTGTTTCAAGTTGTTGTAATTTTTTCATTTATATTGTTCAAGAGAAACTTCCGAGAGGCTTGCCATTTCTGAGATATATTACTTTTCTCGTTTGAAAGACATCGAAATAAAAATTCAAAAACAATTGTTACTGGGTGCATTTCCACCATCACGTCTCCTTCATTTCGCGATGAATGGCGTAATTTTCACCAGCAGGCCCCGGTTTTTTGAAGGTTGGTTAATGCCATCCACTGGATAAATCCCTATCCGGTAAATGGTGTAGTAAGTTGATATCACTTATCCTCTGGATAGCCTTTCATCTCTTGGATAACGTTATCCGACCTTTATACGATAGTTCGAACCCTGGGGAGTTATTTAATCGCATGTCTTATCGTCCAGGCTAGGGTAGTTGTTGTCGGTAGTTGTTGTCGTTTTGACAACCTTAGAGAAGTCGTTATTACAGTCTTTCGTGTGAGTTTTTTCTTTAACACCTTTAACAATACATCTTAACTGAGAAGAAAATCTCCGTGGGAACGACCCCAGCAGCGTAAATGTATCAAACGCTTTATTTGCATTTCATTGAAAATATCGAACATGGGACAGTCCGAGCTGCCCACATCTTCCGTTATCTGATTCATACTCCTTGGCGAGTTGGACAACTTATATTATTCAGGAACGAATGCTGGCGACAATCATGGCTCGCGTTAATTTTAGACGAATGGTTTTCGTTTTTGTTCTCATATTAGATCTTTGGGTACTATTTATCGTCATTCATCGCTCACCGCTTATCGTTGATACACGCCAGAAAATCCTTGCAAAAATTAACGGAACTCATGACTGGCTTATAACAAGAGCTCATTACACCAATATTGAAGAAACCTCAACGGGTTTTAACAAACATACTTGGATATTCGAAAGTTGTCAGATTTCACTTCAACAATTATGCAATCATCCAATGTTTCCAAAATCTCCGGACATTAGAAAAACTATTTCAAATGCTGACCTTAATTTTACAGCTAAGAACAATTTCGTGGCTATTCGATTGCTGGGCTACATTCGACCAAATGTTACTGATGTCTATCAATTTTTGTTGACCTCGATTGGATCAGCTGAAATGTGGCTTAGTTCGAGTTCTGACTGGAAAGATGCAAGAAGAATAGCTTCGGCCAGTGGTACACAAAATCTTTCAAACCCCATCAGTTTGGTTGGGGGAAAGAAATATTACACTGAGGCAATCTATGTTCAAGCTGAACTTAAAAACAGCCAACAGTTGATACAAATCTCTTGGAAACGACTCAATAGCGCTGACGGATTCGATGTGATTGATGGAGCTTTCTTCTCACCATACACGAACGATGACGAAAAATATGAATTTGAAGTATACGATGACAAATTGCCAGGTGCACTTTATTGTGCTCAATTCGACAGAAGGTCTACCAACAAGTTCTTGAGGCCAGAGAAGCTTCCATACCTCCAACGAGCTGCTGTGGACCAAGTTTTAGAGGTATGTGACTATAGCCCCAGTTACCTCATCGATCCGGAAAATCTGCCATCTGACTTTCAAATGTATTATGGTGTTTCACTATATGTACAACGAACGAATGTTTACCCGCCTTTGAATGGAACGAGAATGGCTTTCGAGGAGATGATATTTTTCCTCGAGGAAGAGACAGCGTTTTCAGTTATAAACAAATACTTCGAGGAGTTGAGTGGAGCTTTCCCCGGGTAAGTTTAATCAAACACACCGATGCATTTTTATTTTTAGGTGAATGGGAGTGCAAACTCATGACAAATTGAGATTTATTCATGTGAGGCCTTCCACCCGTAAGAGCTCTTTTGAGTGTCTTTAACGGACACTTGTTTTTCTTTTTGTTACAGTATTAAGTTCTTTGTTTTATACGTTTTGCGCCTTATGCTATGATTATGAAAACAAATCAAAACAGAACAAACCAGATTTTTCATAAAAATGTACCTTTTGAGTTTTGGAATAATAAGCAGTTTGGAATACGTCTCTGGATACTAGAATATAACTAATCTCCATACTGTAGCCGTCAGCCAGCTTAAAAAAAAAATAAACAGCGTATAACTTGGATTATGGTTGTTCTATTCTTGAGCAGATTTACCTTCAAAACGAATAATCCAATCTAGTTAATTGTCTCCGAAATGTTTGTTTTACTTAGCAACTTGTCATGAAAACGCCCACACTTCTAGACATTTTAATAAGTCACCCCAGAAATAATAATGTAAAATATAAATTCTCACTCGGAAAATTAAAGAAACAGGATATAAAAAATTTTGAAAGGAAAATCAAACATTTTGCATCCGGCTTGAAGTCTTAAGTAATCTCACTCAAAAATAAAAAATTGTAAAGCAATTAGCACTGCGCATGCTCTACGCGAAGCTGTAAGGCAACGTTGAGAGTGAAATTTTGCATACAATTATACTTAATTTAAAAAAAGTTCAAGCGACCTCTTTCCTTTTTATTTTAATTAAGTATAGCAGACATATATTCAAACTTTTCTGCGTTGAATTTACCTGCTTTTCGTAGAAAGCTGAAGTTGAGGTTATTGTTATGAATTCAGGGTTTACCTTGGTGTAAAACTCCTATGCAGTTCTTCTTTGCTTTACAATTATTACTTTCCTCGGCTCCTTTGTTTGCATTTTTTTGTCTTCTTTGTTCCAAATTACTCGTGAAAGTAACAACGGGCACTTCCACCAGAGATGGTAAATATTTAACGTTCATTAAGGCTCAGGGAGCAGTCATTATTTGTCTTCGGGGGAGGGGATATTGGAGAGTTTTGTTTGCGTCACGATAAATTTTATCTGATTCCACACCCCCCCTCCCCATAAGGCTCTGTAATGTTCTTATGGCCCCCCTCATTGCAGTAAATTGGTAAAAAATTATCTATGGTTCCCCCCTTTATACTCAGTTCCCCCCCTGAAAACCATGTGATCCTTGCAAAATCTCTCACCCCCTCCTCCCAGACAGTAAATGATCACTGGTCCCCAAATGCAGAAATTTTTCAATCAACACTAAGTACTAACCCTCTCCATCCAGGAAATACGAACTCCAATCTGTTATTAGCGTTGAAAGAAGAGAAGACCCCGGAAAAGGTAATAAATATTTCCTCGAACTTGTCGTCAAAGATATCCCAAGAGACGTCAGTTATGTCCTGGCAGAAAATGTTTTTGAACCGAAAGATGAAAGTGAGCCATTGTGTTACCCTAGTGGCCTGCTGTGGAACAGGAATGTGGATGTCTACCTGATTCTGACCGCCAAGAACCTGGGTCGATGGGTTCACCATTTTATCAGAAACGTAGAAGAAATCATGCTAGAGACGGAAGACGAACATTTACATGTGGTTATTTTCGACTTCGATAGCCCTGATATTGATCTAGAGCAGGCCTTGAAACGAAGCACTCTGAAAAATTATCATTTTATCAGAAAACCTGGTAATTATTCTCGCAGTATTGCCATAAGTGAAGCAGTGGCATCAATAAAGGACTTAGATGCCATTATTGTTACTATTGATCTACACCTGGATATTGGGAGCCGAGCAATAAACGATATACGCAAGGTAATTGGAGAGAGGGTACTGGGGTGTGGGTGGGATTTTCTCAGGGGTTGGGTTAGACTATTAACATTATCATTTAGGTGTTAGTCATTATCTAACTACGTAATGGATAGTTGAGGCAAGTGCGCCTAAGTCAACAAACTTGATCGTCTGTTAACCTTTTAACTCCCAACATCTGCTTGTGTTTTAAAATTCTCCCCTCTAAAATATTTGCAAGAATTTCGTGTCAGATCAAGATAACATCTTCCACCCCATAAGTTTCAGTATTCCCTTTACCTATATGCGGGATGATGTATAGATATCTATAGGGAGAAATTACATGTTAATCACTTCTAGGGGTTAAAAGTTGAAGGTCTCTTTGCTGTCATATTGTCATTTCAGCATTGCATCAGAGGCAAAACATTGTACGCTCCACAGATAGCTTTTCTTGACTGTGACGGAACTAGTGCTGTTCCCATAGGGGAATGGAACCGCTACAGCTATGGAACTGTGGCAGTGCACAAGGAGGACTGGGACAAATTTGGAGGATTCTCTAAGTATTTCGAGACAAAAGTTACATGGGGAGGCGAGGACTGGGATCTAATTGACGGCGCAGTCAAGAGTGGCCTGGAAATAGAGCGCAAGCCAAGCCCATATATTTACCATTATTACCACACTAAAGCAGGAATGTGGCTATAAAATACCAATGACGGAGAAACCATCCAGCCAAAATCTGTAGATCAAGTTTAAAGATCTTGTTTATGGCTAGCATGTTTCGGTTGGGCCGTGGAAGGGGGGAGGAGTGAGGAGGAGTGGGGGGGGGGGGGAAGTAGATCTACCAGCGCAGCACCAACACATTTTTAATCTAATTGTAAACATATTGTCTCTCCATCCCAGAACTGGATACATGATGGCGATATAACACAATTCTTAATAATTCTTAGTCTTAACAACATAGCAAAATGAAAGAAATTCGTTCCAAAGAGAGTCAGAGTCTTTTACAGCACACCCAACCCAAACTCCACCCTAACGGATCCCCTGTTCCTTCTTAGCCACCGACCACAATCAGGATCAATCAGCACAACCAGGATGGTGACCAGCATAAGCAAATGTTGAATTTTAAAGGTTGTAAAGTATCTTCTAGGCTGCAAACATTTTTTATTTTTATTAGCTGTTCCCAAGTACTGAAGACGTAGGCAATGGGTTGCTTACTCACTCTTGGTATTTCGGAGGGATAGTCAACGTAACTGATATGCAAGAGATGATAAAAAAAAAATTGTATAGAATTATATGTAAGTATTATATAAAATCTCATCCCATCGGTACCTTTATAGGCTGTTTTAATTTGAAATTCTAAGTATTAGTCATGCGTCATTTTCACATTCGTCATATTGTACTGAAAAATAAAATTATAACATATTAATGATCAATATCTGGGTGTTTTTGTTTACTATATAAGCAGCACAAATATGAAGTTTACGGCGTAAAGCCAAGCGAAAGTGGCGATCAAGGGCGTCTCTTTGTAATATGCTCAACTATTTTCATCAGACCAACTGTACAAATTAAAACTCTTCTGTGACAAGTATTCAGTTCTCGTTTACTTAAAGTCCAGCTCATCGAGGAGTACTGTGCAGATTTACAAATACTTTTTCTTCGAAACTCGAGGAGCAATTGTTGGGTTTAACGACAGTCGTACTTCACGTTCGAGTTCGTTTCCCCAACCCCTTCCACCCGCCTCCTCCTGTTAGTTAAGGTGACGGCAGATTGGTTTCAGCCTAGCTGGATATTAAACCTCGTTCCTAGTCTCCTTGGCGTCAAATTTGGCCAATAACTCATTCCTACGATTACCACATTCCATATTTGGTGTGGTAATAATGATAGACCCATGGTGATCGTTTCCTTTCTATTTCCAGGCCACCCTTGACTGCGCCGTCAATGATGTCCCAGTCCTCTCCTCCCCACGTGGTTTTGTTAACAAAACCCTGTGAAAAGCCTCCAAATTTTTCCCAGTCTTCTTTATACATAGCAACTGTTCCATAGCTGTAGTGGTACCATGAGCCTCTGGGAAGGGCACTGCTTCCACCACAATTTAGAAAGATGATTTGGGGAGCATAGACGGTCCTTCCTTTGATACAGTGCTGAAAAGAACGTGAAAAACTGTTAAAACTTCAATAAAAGTCTGTGTAACGTAGGAGTCAAGCCTGGAAATGCCATCAAAAACTTGAATCGTACTCAAGGGACTGTTCCCTTTTGGTTTATATTTCGAGGAGGCTGAAAAAAACTCAAAAATGCTAACAAGGTGAAAAATTTAATTGGTTACTCAGAAGCCAACATTGATACGGCTATGATTTCTTCCCAACACAGCTTTGGAACCGGTCATAATTAATCGCTGTAGTAGGGGTGGGGTGGGGGCTGGTTGTGTCATGATAAAAATGAAAAATTTGGCCATTCTTCATAAGGCTCTGTAAAACTACCATAACACTCCTTATTGGCAATTAATTGGCAGTCAATTTTCTTTAGTCTCCCATTTATACTCTGTTGGCCACGACTGATCCCACCTTTGTTCCCCCTGACAACCATATAAT